TCTCCATGAAAGAGAGGTGCAGTACTCTGCCACCTTAAAGATTACGTGGAATTACTTGGAAACCCTATAAGGTAGTTCTACTCCGTCTTGCTGGGTCATGTGAAGCAACGTGACAGTGATGGATCTTGGGGCCTTGAATTTGAGCCTGGTGTTGGGATACCTCAGAAATATGGATGCTCTTTCATTTGAGCAATCAGAGACAACTTTTAATCAAAATATGATTTTCTGAAATAACAAAAAAGGATGTCTATTTTCTCAGACTCCATTTATACCAGGTAGTTTTTATTTGGCAAAAGGTCTAATGTTGGGATGAACTCAAACTAAGGAGAGTCATAATTGGGGAGAATAAGCAATGATTACCTGAAAAATACACTGATAGAGAATGAAAATCATGACATGAAAATGTGTTTGTGTTGAGTATGATTTTTATTCAGGATATCTTACCCAGGAGGCATGACAAAAACTGGCATTATCTCTCACTTCTAGTGGAAAACACACACACACACACACACACACACACACACACACTCTTATTAAAATGCCATGTTTAAAATGTCTTTCTTGAGCAGTTAGAGAAAACTAGAGTTAGTGAAAATGCTGTAAAAAAAGCATCTCTGTATATGTAATAAATACTATTAAAAATTCTAAACAAATCTGCATATATGAAAAATACTATGAAAACGTTCTACATGAATAGCCACCCTGGTGGCATAATGGGTTGGAATTAGGCTGCTAACCCTAAGGGCAGTAGTTCAAACCCACCAGTCAATCCATGGGAAAAGATGAGGCTCTCTAACTACTACCATAAAGATTAATACCATCCTGGAAACCCACAGGAGCAGTCCCATCCGTCTTTAGATGGTTGCTATGAGTTGTAATTGACTCATGGGCAGTGAGGGTTTTGTTTTGCTTTTAATGAATAAGTTATTTCCATCTTTTATTTTCCAAAAATAAATTCAGGGCCACTATATTGTGCTCTGTGTTTGCATATGGGTTCCTTTTCACTGTCTTTAAAAGGTGTGCATGTGCATGTATGTTTTCTCTTTTTCTAATCAACCCTGATTCTGAAGGTAGTCTTTAAAACTTCGAGGTGAGCAATGTATGGAAGGACCATGTGGCCTTTGAAATAGGTTCAAATCTTGAGCAGTGATTTTTTTTTTAGAAATGGGAGTACATATTTGGTGTGGTGCCAAAACTTCATTTTAACTTATAAGCTTCATCTCTAGTCAAATAAAATGCATTGTGTTATTAATATCTTTGTTTTTGTAAGAAAAATAAAATGTTCAAAATCTGAGCTGGTATGATGATTAGTAGAAATGATCTTTTGTTACGTCTCCAAGGGCATTCGGAGCACCTTACAGGAACAAAAGGAAAATGGATAAAATTTAAAGAAGTCAGAAGTCACATTTTTACAAGCAGATAGGAATATATAGATATAGATAGATAGATTATACATACATACATACATGTATGTGTATATATATATATATATATAAAATCAAAACAAGTTCCCTGCCATTGAGCCGATGTCGACTCATGGGGATCGGATGGGAAGGAGTAGGGCCTGCTGCGTGAGTCTCCAAGACTGTAATCCTTATGAAAGTAGAAGCCCAGTCTTTCTCCACGAGAGGCCGGTGGTTTTGAACTGCTGTTCTTTCAGGGTCACAGCCTGATGCGCAACCCTTATGCCACCACGGAAATATGTACGTATTTTTTCTGTACTTGTGAAAATTTACATATTGGTTTGGCTGCCTTCCTCTGGTTGCTAATTTGCACGTCTCCCAACAGTATCAATTAAATATGCAATGAAGATCATTTCATTAATGTGATCAATAGCTCCATTTCTACAGCAAAACTGCATGCCTTTAATGTGCTACTTCATTTTTCTACTGCACAAAATGAGGAAGCAAAATTGGGTCTAGAATATAGCCATTATGATAGGAAAATCCGGTCCCAAAGGAAGTTCCTTCTCCAAGAAATTGCTGGTGCTAAGAAAAGTAAACACTAACTCCTTTTATTTGAAACATTCTAAGGTGCTGTTGAGGAATATTTAGTAAGAATGTCATTGAGAATCAATTTAAAAATATATATTTGGTTATTCCCCAGGCCATAACTTTTAGAGATGGGTTCCACAGGACTTGTGAAAAACTGGAATGGTTTGTAACAAAAGTGAGATATGCAAGTGTTCACATTTTTTCCCTCAAGAGTGGACCTAGAGTTTCAAAATGATACTCAAAAGTTCCAGAACACAAAAACGCTTAAGTAATTCTAGTTGTGAAATTAAATGCTTAAAGTATTAAATATATTTTGTCATACTAATAACCATTTATATGCTGAAGGCTATTGCATATTTAAAAAGTGATTAAAATTGGCAATTGCCAAAAGGCACAATATTCTACATATATGAATTTAGCATATACATTTAATAACAATTTCCTAAATGTACAAATTAACAGCTATGATTTATGCATGAATTAATTCCAACAACCTTACTATTTTCAGGAAGATATGAATGAATTTTCTAAAGAAAGCAACCCACAGTAATAAAAACATAGGCAGTTTCTCAATATTATCGATGTCTTCAGCATAAGATAGCATCCTATTACGCATATTCAAAGGGGTGTCACACAGTTTGTGGAAAATGGGAATAAAGGATAATGGAAGCTTTCCACAGGCTTTTTGAAGCTCCTCATGTTTATGCTACAGATGCTGAAGAGAAATATTTGGATGGCGACTTTTCTGGACAAAAAGAACAATCCACTTATCTTAAGCACAAAGGAAAATAAAAAACACATATCATGGGAGTATTTTTATTTTTATATATGGAACACATTTGATTCTATCTTCCAAGGATGTCAAGAGAAAAAAAAGAAGTAAAATCAACCCAGTATTCATCTTACCATACATACAGATAATCTGAAAGTTTAAATCAAGGATAAATTATTGCCAATATACACTTAAAAATACTGGCATCATCAAAATGTTCTTGCCATTTATTTCCTATCAAGTATTCATTGAACAATGACTGTGTACCAAGAATTATTCTAGATTCTTTTGAATTTCCAGCATGTCATTAAATCACGTTTGTATGTGCAACTTCCAATTTCTCTCATTCTTTCTCCTCCCACAAAGCATCACCTTACAAACCTTCTATTCAGAAGGTTGTAAGTACAACATTAAAATCACATCAAATTGTGACACTTTAAATTTAGTAAGAAACATATACCCGTTAGAGAGGTATTCACTAACTAGTTATTAAATAAATGAAGTTTAGAATCTCACTACATTTTTCTGACAGCCCTAATACTCCAATATGAACAAAATACAAGAAGTATTGATTATATTCAACTAATTTGAAAATTTGCATTTATTTATAAGTCAGATAAGGAAATGGCTATTTATACATTTGTAAAAACTAAGTGTGTACGATTCTGTCCTGGAGGAAATGTACTGAAATATCAAAAGCAGGTATACTAAAATTAATGTCCTCTGTGTTTAATATTTGGTTTAATAAAAAATTAATAATATTTCCAAAGATGCTGCCTATTAAAATTTTTAAACCAAAATTTTTTTAACTTTAAATGCACTTGAATAATATATACTATTATTCAAATACTATTGATATATACTATTATTCGAACACTACTAAGTAATTATAGGTATTAAAATATCTTAAAATCTGATTGCATAATAGATAAGTAGTTGATGATTTATAGTACATACCATAAAATTTCAGGTTAATTCAATGTAGAAAAAGTATTGCTTTAATTTTTGTACCTTAATTTATATACACTAATGTATTAGTCTATACCATGTGCAAGATTATATCTATATTTTTATATATTAGCATATGAATATATACCCATATATATCACTAGAGTTAACTTCATTATGAGTGGTCAGATAAGTAAGAGGATAGGCAAAATTAATGTTGCTTATCAGAATATAGTGTGAGGTATGAAATCTCTTATTTTTTATTTATTTTTATAAATTGCAGCTAATAATGACTAACCATGCCTGTGTGTATCAGAATGATTGGAATAATGTATTGTTAAACAGTTTTAATATATTGAAATATATATACTACATGTGAACAAGAAAAAGTAGTCAACATGTTAGTGAGGAATACTAGCTTATGAAAAATATTAAAGAGGAATTGGATTTGATAAAACTATTGAATATCAGTAAAAAATGTCAAGAAATGAATTAAAGGAGACAATATATATTTGAAATCAGCTCATCTCTCTCTTCTCTTTGTGGTGCCCGCCTACTGTATATTAGCTGAGACAACAAAGGCGTGGAACATGCATTTCTCTTTGGAAATACCCACATGGATTTACTCAAAGAGGGCTCAGAGGGTGACATTAACCACAGTAGTGAATTCATCAGAGCACAAGGCTTGTCATCAGTGTAGAAATCTAAATTTTGTTACTAAATAAGTGAGTGTTTCCCTCAGTGAACGCATCCAAAGCAAACATGGATATTCATATTTACTGTATTTGAAAATCTGCTCTTATCTTTTTCAATGGCATGTAAAAGTAATGTATGCCAAACTCTCACTCTTTAAATATCTATTTAACTTCTGTAAATGGAGCATAAAAGGGTTTGATTAACAGTCCTACATATATTTTCTCCACATTAACTCCATGAAACTGCTTCCCTACAGTCTAGAATACACAGTTATAGTGCAAATTACTTGACATTCCAGTACTAAAATGTAGCCATAATGAGTAACTAGGGATTTGAGGGCAAAGCCCATTTACTGTGTTTTTGCCAAGGTTCCACAGGTGTGAGCAATTCATCACTTTGGAGAACAGCCACCCAATAAACAGGGGCTAGCTATTTCCCACTGCACATTTGAACTCATGTTTTACCAATATGATTTTACACAAGGACTCCTGATGAGAAAAGCAAAGTACCATTCCAACAAGTGTTCACAAACAAATTCAACACAAAGTCTCAACATTGTACAAAACAATTTCTGAAACTTTATTGTGAATTTTAAGGTACATTTAGTAAATGATGTTTTCCTTAATATAATTAATTAAAAATAAATTGGAAAAATGCACATACTAATTTTTTAAAAGCAAGGATAGGTACAGACTTTTGAAGCCGCAGTATATACAATTATATAAGTGCAATAAGCTTCCAAATACATTAAGTATATAATTGTTTAAATAAATAGAATACTTAATTTGACATATGTGAGTCATATTGATTACACCAAAAATGCTTTACAAAATGTAGCCAAAATGGAACATTATACATTTTGATATACAACTTTAAAGATGCATTATATATTTATTACTTAATTCAAATCATAGTGTACAAAGGTCCATTTTAATAAGGACAAATTTTAATTCTGTGTTCAACACTCTTCAGCAAATATTGATAGTAAGATGCATCCTTATTATAACATATTACTAATTTCCCATTCAATTTAAATCACTAGGCATAGGGAGGAAAGAATTTTCTACCATTATTAACAGTAATAACTTTTATTGATAAATCATCCATATAACACATTGTAGTATTATTTTGGCTATTTTAAATATTCTAAAATATATCACCTAATTTTCAGCCAAATCAGTTTTGTATGTATAAACTTGATGTGAAATCAAAATTGAACTCTATTGCCACATTGAACTTCTTAAATAAAACCTACTCTGCAATATACTTAGGTTAAATAAGATCTTCACCAATTTCCAATCAGAGGAAACATTTCCCTACAACTCTTTAATAACAACCATTTATCTACAGCTTACTAGGAATCAAAAATTAATTTTATAATGTAGCAGTAGGATATACTGTATTGTGATCGATAACTACTGAATTAATGTGTTATAGGAAAATGTGACATCAGTGTTTTACAATTATGATCATTCATACATACAACACAATAAGGGATATATCTTTGAACCTCAGTTCATCATTTTGAGCATATAGTTGCATATGAGAATTTATTTTGGGTATCTAAAACTATGTAGGATTTATCATAAAACAAATGTGCTATTTTCCATTACTTTCACTTGGATACCAAAAAGGAAAGGCATAAAAGAACCAAGAACATACCAACCTATATTGAAGTGGCAAAAGGAGAGGGAGTACTTAATGATCATCCCCTAAAAATCATTCAGGCAGTAATGATTGAAACGATGCACTTTGCATTCAAATATGAGCAATGTGGTGATCTGCCTATGTCTACCAAACTGCTGAGTAATATCAAGACGTCATCATCCAATGACTACGAGTATATATATAATTTTTTTTAAGCAGCTGAACCTTAAAAGTAAGCTAAGGAAATAAGTTGTATGGTAACAAAGTTTGCATTTTTAGGAGACTACATCTAAAAACATCTAGAAAAACTACCTCTATAAACAGGCAAGACAAATTAAATTCTTTTAAATCTCCACAGTCCAAATCTTGGATGGTTGTAATGGAGCAGCACCATGTGTTAAAACCCAGTCAATCTCGCTAACTCACCAAGTTGCCTTTTATTGGTGAAAATGTAAAGAATATGCAGGTTGTGCACAAGGTATTAAAGAAGGCACACACAAATGCACAATGGTACCTACTGTTAATGCAGGCCATCAACCCGGGAAAGCTGAGCTCTGCCCTATTGACCTCGATGTCTGTTTTCATTCAAGGGAAATGCAATGAGAAGCATTAAGGTTCATGTTATGTTAGAAGGAAAGGTCCTCCTTTATAAGGAAGTGAGGTGCTCCTTCTGCCCACATGTGAGTGAGAGTCATGTGTATGTGTGGGAATTGATATTTATCCAGGATAATAAAAAGATCATATATAATTCAAATAACATGATCATCAAAGAGTAATCATATTTCTTGTCATGTAAAATGAGCAAGATTAATTAAGCAAATCGTAATGTCTTCTTGCTACTCCATGCTTTAAGACGTTGACAGTAGCAAAACAATGATTTGTTTAACTATAAAGTATGTATATGTTCAGATTAAGCTGAGACTTTTCAAATCTCTTGAATATGCTATCTCATAATGTGATATATAAAAGAACTCTTAACATCCTTACATTATTTCTTTCTAATATTGTGAAGTTAAATGAATTTTAAATGAAGTTTCATAAACTACAAATATACTTAAATTGGGTCACAAGTTTTTGAAACTTTAATGACAACCATTTCATTTTATCGATATGTTGTTCTCCATCATTGTTAACAAACTTTGTATTTTTCTGCTAATGGTACTATGTTACCTCCAAAGACCCATATACAATCATCTCAAATATAGGATGATGTACACATTTGCAATTTATCTCCTTTTTAAGTAATCACTTTAAATTTGTAATATTCCTGGTACTATGGTTTTATTTTATGATTCTAGGAGGTAATAAAGATTTCTTTTAAGAAGCAATCTCTAAAAACCTACTGCCCTAAATGTACTGATTTCAAAATTGCCTACATGAGGTGGGTCTCTTGAAGTTATACCAAATATTACATTTCAGTAGTGCTATACTTCATTTTTACTAATCTATACACAACATTGAAATGCATTTTGTGACTGAAAATAGAATGCAGGAAATAGAGGTGAATAGACTCTCAAAAAATGCATTGCTAAAAATCGAAAAATTAGCACCCCCTTCAAAAATTTATGTAAAAACATGTGCAAGCTCTTGCCAAGGCCAAGTCAAGGAACAGCAATTTTATGGAAGCACCAGTGGAGAAACACTCGGTGTGCTCTAAAGACAGGTAGAAATTGGTCAACTTGGGAAGAGCACATATAACATCAGTACTGGAAAATATTTTCATTCTGCTTATGACTGGTAAGCTTTGTAGTAAAAGAAAAAGAAGCTAAGAAAAATTCTTGATAGATTGGTGTTAAAATAATTTTTTATCATGATTTTCATGAAGGTGTAAAAATATCTTCAGAGACATTTCATATAAAGTAAAATGAATATGTTGTATATTAGCTATGTATGTTCAATGCATTAAGTCTCATTTTCTCTAGGCCCCTGAACTAAGGATAAATTTTCTGCAAATATTTTAAAACAGTAAAAGCAGTTGTCATTTAATGGGGGAAAATCATTGGCTGGTGATCTGTACCACTGCTTCATACATTGGAAAAGTGATTTTTGTGTTTGGTGGGAAAAGCACTATGTCAGCTTTATTCACACAGTTGCTTTCCACATCCTCTTGCCATCAACACTGCCCAAAGTCTGAAAGTGCAAAAGCTGGTGCCCCTTTGCCCCACCCACTGAATCACCATCAAAAACCAGTGTAAGAGGTTCATTCCACGGTTTTCATTTTGCCCAGTTCCATTAGTCCTCTTGGCTTCTTCCTCCGCTATCTAGAAGTGATGCACATTAATCTACACTTGTGGAGAAAACAAGGTCCAGGCTGGAGAGCTCTACACTGCTCAAGGCAGAAATCTCCTACACTAAGACTATTAAGGATGGCTCTTTCAATGTCACCTTGGATTGAGCCCTCCTGTCATAATCAGAACCAAAAGGCATAATGCCAGTATAAATATCATTACTGATATGGTGAGAGTTCATGGACAATTAATTTAGTTTTTCACAAAACCTTGCCTGTTTTGTCCCTTGATAAAGGAGAACTCTGGCTATACTTTTAGTAACCAGAAAGTTAAATCAACACATCATATTAGGCCACCGTACTTTCAAGCGCTAGGGTTTAGCTTCCAACCTCGAATGGGAACCCTATTACAGGTCTGGAATCTACTGTGGGAACCATAATAGTTTGACATTCTACTGTCTGAGTCTGATAGAAAGTTGGGTAAAACTGTTTGTTTTTAGGTATGCTCTAATTAAAGATGAGTCCTATCAAAATGCTATCATTAAACACACACACACAAAATACTTTTTGAAAAAGGACACTCTAAACATATGCAGAGACAAAAACTTTCTCCCACATGCGCATGCGTACTACAAATAGATTTCTATGATTGTGGAAGCCGTGGGGTTCAAAGCAGACATGCACAATGCATTTCTGCTCATAAGTCAGAAGAACACTTCCCACTATCCTAATAACTTCAGTAAAGAACATTCTGCTGTTTCACTTCACTGGTACATTAGTTAGGGAGTTTAGCTTTTTCTTTTCTGGTTGATGTAAACATGTGCCCTTACCGAATGTTTTCTTGCCTAATTAACAGCATACAATCGGCAGCCAGTCAACATTTTCAATACGGCTCTTTAATTAGAAAAACTGAAATCCTTCTATTAAAACTTATCAGGAAGAGTAGCCAGGATAAAGCTATTGTCCCAACAGTTCTCCTGTTAATCTTTAAAAAAAGAAAAATAAGGGAGTGCTCACAATAAAAATGTAAACAATGCAAGCTTCAAAAACACAAGATTTTGGAATGATAGGTCAACTTGAAACTCTTTTTGAAGGAGAATTCTTTCGTAAAAAAAAAAAAATTCTCCAGGAATGTGTCAGAATATATTTTAAATAAGAACAGCATTCATTCAAGTGACCCTACAATCCACATGCACTACACAGCATGGGCATAAATGATGAGCATGCTATTCCAAGAATCAAATACCTTGGCACTATGGAATAAGGAAAATCTCATTTGCTTCTGGAGCAGGGCAAGCTCTGCATTGGTGTCTCTTAGTTCCTTCTTGTTGGTCTTCAATTTTTGTGCCTCCCATTAAAAGTGCACCAACCTTACATAAGTGTTTTATCCAATCAGATAGATTATGATAGCCCATAATGGATACATTTCACTGGTCCTATGAAGTTAGCAATTGTAAGGGGGACTTTGACAGTCCAACTCATGGTTGACTAATTGACCAACAACTGTTAAAATTTTAAGGAAGGCATTAAGAATCCAATCATAAAACATGGGGCATTTAAGAGCACTGTGTAAAATAACTGGATATTTTTTTTTATGTGGGTGATAAAACTAGAAAACCTGCAGTAGGAAAAATCTGAACTTATATAAACCATGATAAAATAATTATGTACATATTTCTAAATAGACATGCAGATTAGTTATCCCACAGCATTACAGATAGGTGGGGGGAAGGCCCATGCTGATCTTAGCTGGCAAGTTTGTGCAGAGGTGGATGGTGGTTGGCACTTCTGACCCGTTCAGGAACAGGGGCTGGAATAAAGATTTGGAAAGAAAAGGAAAAAAAAAAAAAAAAAGGAAAGCATCATTCTAGTCTAGTGGAGAAGTAAGAACCAATTATTAAATTTTGACTCTCCCCCCTTCTTCAAGCTCACTCATTTGCTATGAGGAGTAACATTAAAATAATAATCACCATGAAACACTGTTCTACTTTGAGTTGAGCATAAGTGTTTAATCCACTGCCCAAATCCACTGTTGATAAACAGATAGTCAGCATCTTACTGCTTAGGACTGATGATACTAACGATGTACTGTTTGTGAACGTTCATTGTAATATGCGAAGAACCTAGCATACCTCCGTTATGGTTATGTTATTACGCTATGCTATAATATTTGTACAATAAGGCATCTTACATTTTTTAAACTTTTACACAAAGAATATAGTTTTGGCAATCGACTATTGATGATGAATGCAATTTAAAAAATTGAATCACAGAGGCAGGCTTATTTAGCAGCTAAGAACAATGTCTCTGGTGTCAGACTGATTAGGCCGGAATCCTGAGCTCACCATTTACTCCCCACGGCCAGCAAATTGACTTAGACTCAAATGATGCTATAGGACAGAATAGAAACATCCTGGTTTCCAAGAATTTAAAGCGTTACAGAAACAGACAACCCCTCTTTCTGACAGGGTCACTGGTGGGTCTGAACCGATGGACATGAGGCTAGCGGCTGAAGGCACATGTCACTAGGACTCCTTCACCTTATTAAATTGGTGAAAGGCATTTAACTTTGATATAGCTGTCAGGTCATAAAAAACCACGATGAGTCAATTATGACTTACAATCACTCTACAGAGAGTTTCTGAGAATAAAAATCACTAAGGAAACAGCCATTCTCAATTTTCTCCTGAAGAGCAGCTAACAGGTTGGAACCACTGACCTAGAGCTAGCAGGATGACACCTAATGCACAGCACCGCCACTACCCCTTTAGCTGCAAAATGAGGACACAAGTAATAACAGCACGTGACACATAGAGCAGGGTTTTAGATTTGGCGAGTTAATACATGTATGCACTGAAAGGGAAATAACGAGGGCTCGGCCAATGTTAGTTTTGCCATTATCTGTGGCAGTGAAAATATAGCATGGAATTCTAGTTCTAAACCGCTGAAAATTTAGTTTCTAGACAGAAAAAGAGGAGACAGTGGTACCAAAGTGAATATTGTGGGGTTTTTTTCTTTTTCACTGCCTTTGAGTCAATTCTGACCCATAACCACCTCACAGTGGCGAGTGGAACTGCTCCTTTGGGTTTCTGAGGACTAAAAACATAGCCTCACTTTCTTCCTGCAGAGCTGCTGGGGGATTCAAACCACGTTTGCAGTGGTTAGCAGCCCAGGGGGAAGCCCACGATGGCACCAGGGCTCCTTACAGAATCCAAACTAGCCCACACGTTGTTTGCTGTGGTTCATTCTGGCCAGCTTAAATACAGGTTTATGGGTTTAATAAAAAGTGATCGTCAACTATTTTGAAGTACTTGATTTTCTTACTCTTGATGTCATTCTACTGGATGGAGTGACTTTATAATATATACGTCATTTGTTGTTTACATTGTGGAGTACCAGGTGACACACAAATTAAGCACTTGTCTGTTAACTCAAAAGGCAGTTCGAATCCCACCAGAAGTGCCTCAGAGGAAGTTTTGAGGCTCTCCTGCTGCAAAGCTTGCAGCCATTGAAAACGCTGTGGATTGTGCAGGTCTACGCTGCAACACACAGGGTCATCTTGACTTACCCCCCCACTGGAGGGTGAGTCACGATGGGAATTTGTTTTGTTCATACCATATTTCATATTTTACTTAGTTTGTTGTGGTTGAGAATGCACACAGCAAAGCATCTACCAATTCAACCATGTGTACATGTTGCATGTTCAATTCAGTGACATTGAATACAGTCCTCAGGTTTACAGCCAGTCTCACTTTTTTTGGAGTGGTTTCTCCCACAATTGGATCCGGTATTGAAAACAAGACGAAACAACTCCCTGTTGAGGAGCTGACTCTGTCTCATAGCCATACTGTAGGACAGAGTAGCACGTCATAAGGTTTCTGAGGTTATAAATCATTATGGAAGTTGACTGCCTCACTTTTCTTGATTGAGAACCTGAAGGATTGGACCAAGCACTTCAGCAACACTATAGGACAGATTAATGCCTCTCCATAGGGATAGATACAAGACTCATCGTTCATCCTTGGCGGGCCGTGTAGGTTTGAAGTGCCGACCTTGTACTTATCAATCCAATGCTTAGCCCACTAAACCAGCAGGGTTCCTTTGATCCTATGTTCTCAAGAGAACATGATGTGTAAGGCATGCATCTCCACTAGTTTAGCTAAACTCTTATTTACTCTAATGTTGATTTTGCCCACATATGTCTAATAAATTGATTTCTTTTTCATACAGATCACTGCTAGGCACTATCTACACAAGGTCATTAATACACAAGCATCCAATTCCAAATCAGATGTCAGCAGACTTCATCTCTTTGTACTTTCACAATAGAGTGCTGATTTGATTAATCAAATAGCTGTGATTTGCTGCATTGTCCCCAGAATGGCTGACTCTGACCATGCTCCAGGAACTCGGGCAATGTGAAGTCTTGGCCTGGCCAGCTTCTCACCTTGCCAGAGACCGCTTACATCTCATTCCACCAATTACTGCCTAAAATAGCTGAAGTGCCTTTTATGCAAAATCCTTGGGTGTTCATTTGACACTAATCTAATTTGTTTTAGATTTTTTGTAATTTGCTTTCACTTGCATTAGCAATACAAAGTAGCTTTAGATTTTTATTTTTAATAACCTCTAAAATACCCTGGATTCATGGATTTTAAAAGATACTTCATTTGAAGAAAGAATGTGAACATTTAGAAAGCAGTTCATATACGTCAAGTTATATGATTACCCTTTGGTTGTATATTTATTTCATTCATGTATAACAGTCATGTTATACATACTTTTATCACCATGAAGAATATCTACATAACATGTAGGCATTTTTTAACATTAGAAATGTACAAACATTTGTTTAGTAATTTGCTTGGCATGTAGACTATTTAAATAAGTTAGAAGGACAAATAGTTGTCTCCCATGTTTTCTTTACTAAGGTCGATGATCAAAAATGAAAAAAGAACTGGCTGAAAAACGTTAAGTATATTTGTGTGGTCAAAAATGCAGCAAGTCACACACACACAAATGTAGGTTTATAATAACTGCAGGATTTAGCAGAACACAGGTTCCTGATGTAAGTCGTTGGAGGAATATGTTTAGAAAAAGAAAAGGGTTAAGGATAGAAAACTTTGAGTTTGTAAGAGCACCAGATTAACGGCCACTGCATAGGATGCTTATGAGCCATGTCGGCACCGTCAGGTAAGCTTTGGATTCTGAACCACAATGTCAGTAGTTCAAAACCACTAGCCTCTCTGTGTGTGAAAGGCAACAATATATGCTTCAGGAAAGAGTTACAGCCTCTAGATTCCTACATAGGATGGCTAGGAGTCAGAAGTCACTCTGGGGAATGGGCTTGGTGGGCATGTGATGCTGAGGGCAGCACAACTTGGGTTGCATACTGAAATTGGTCATTATAGACAAGAAGAAGCTCACGTTACTTCTAAAGCCATTTTATCTTAAAGTTATTTTTAATTAAACATTAGACTGTATGCATCTAATGTCTGTCTTGACTTTCCAGTTACAGATCTTCACTAAAGGAACATTTATATCTTCCCCTGAAAAACTCTAGAGTAGCGAACATCAACACAATGTATTATAGGAGGAGAGCTGAATGACTTCCCACTATTTCAGCCATGGAACTAAGCCATTACTCAGAATGTCCCACTTTAGCACCACCTCTGTGAGACAGGTCATTGGCACACTTGGAGGAACATGATACAGAAAGAACAATTTCATTTAAATGTACCTCACTGTGGAATCTGTTTGCCACCCTGTGCACCTGTATCTTAACCCTCTTCCCACTGGAAGTGTTTGGAAAACCCTCAGGAAGGCATCTTTGTTACAGTCCATTCATATTGCTATGAAATCACACAAACTATTATTGAACAAAAATATCAAAATGTGAAGCTATTGTTTCTCAAAATATCCCCTTTGAGGGCTACACCCTTCTGAAGGTGGTATTTCCATCTCGCTAAACTTTCCTCTGCTGATGCCTTTGAATTATGACGTTGGCAAAAAGTATTAAATAAACTAAGGAGTTCCAGGAGAATGAACAAATATGTGTTGGAGAAAGTACAGCCATAATGCTTCTCAGAAAGAGGGCGGTGAGACTTTGTCTCGTGTACTTGGGTATGTTTTAAGGTGGAATAGGTCCCTAAATGCACATGTTTGGTACAGTAGAGGCTCAGCAAAAAGAGGAAGAACCTCAATGAGAAGGACTGACCCAATGGCTACATCAAGGGACTCAACAAAGTAATGGTTATGAGTATGTCATGGGACTGGCCAGTGTTTTGTTGGACACAAGGTCGTTATGAGTTGGACCGAATCCACGGCACCAAATAATAAAACAAGCATTGCTTCAGGAACGTTATACTCTTCAATCTATACTGAGTCAAAATTTGAACATCTTCTAGGGATGCAAATCTAGCTCTCTTCCAATATGCTTTGAGTCTTAAAGAAATAAAAAGAAGTCTGAATGGGTAAAATCAGGACTGTAGGGTGAGAATCAGACAAGTGTTTTATTGAGAGAACTTGTCTGCAGCCATCCATTGATCACAGGGACATTTTTAGGTCCTGTCTGTTTGTGCACATATGAAATGACACCCTCGTTAGCACCACTTACCTTCCCAGCACTTGTTTCAACACATGATTTGTCTAGGGCTGTTTCAGGTATTTTTTTCCCACTCCTTGATGAATTAATTAGTTGATCCAATTTCTGTATCCAACTAAGCCAAATAAATGAAAAGGTTACCAAATTTATAATTTGGTCTTTTCAATCCCAAACTTGCTTTTCCTCAGCAATAGATTGACAGTTCT